AAACAATACGATTACTATAACGAATGACTAGAGTTGGCCATTTGCTTGGGGCGCCTGAGCCTAGTGACAGAGGGTATGTTTTACTACAATTGCATGCAAGATGATAGCAGTCGATAACACCGAAAAATATCCGATATTCGTAGACTTGTGCAATGTGTTCGTACACGAGCCGAGCTGCTTCACTGTCAGTGCTCCAGGTAACATGGTAAAACAAGAACGATAGCTCATATTGTTCAGCTTGTTTCCGTATTTCATTTACATCTTTTCCCGGACACTCGACCAACAAGGAATACGCTATTCCTATGGAAATATATGCAAGTGTTATAAATACAAGTAAACTGTAAGCAAATATATTGTTCCTTAACATTATTTTCAATTGGTGCAAACAGCTGCAACCAGTGGTACTTAGGGCTGCAAACGATGCATCGATATTTTTGAAACATCGATAATATCGGTTCAAACTCGATATTTGCCACCGATGTTTACAATTTCATAAAAACGCTAAATTGGCGATACATCGATGTTTTAAACATCGACTTTAGTTTGTCCCCTTTCAGACACGTCAAGTCTGCTCGTTCGTTGGCGAAGGAGGTGGGAAGAGTACAGATACCTCCGTACCGTCAATTCGTTTCAAGTTTTCTTGTCTCTTTTGATCTTTTCGTTGCTTCCCATTTAAGAACCAAGGTCTTGAATTCAATTAAAGTTGACGCGTGTGGAAGCAAATAGAAAACACAAAAGAGAATGCGAAAAAAATTGCTTTCAAGACTTGATGTGTCTGAAAGAGGACTTTGACCCAGACTTGCTTTAAGCTCGCTATACAGTTCAATGCGAGCGGGAACGTGAACTTTTTATTTTGACTAATAGCTTCGCTTTTACTTCCCGTTATGCAACAGTAATATATCAAAAAATAGAGTTAAAATATCTTCCAGAATTATAGAATTAAAAATAATAGGTCTTGGAACTTTAGGCGAAGCGAACTTACGGCGGTAAACATTTTTATTCTATTGATAGTAAGGATAAAGGAAGGCTAATTAAATACAGGGGACTTCATCCAAATTTTAGTATTTCTCTAATTGAATTACAGAGACTGAAAAGTATAAAATTCTTTAAATATGAATAGAACCTAACAAATTGTGAAACATCGGAAACTATCGATGTATCGATGTTTTTCTGCGGATGTATTTTAGCATCGATGTTCATTTCTCCGATGCATCGAAACATCGATGTATCGATGTTACTCTTTTAAATTTGCATTTCAAGGGGTACCAACAGGGTGGAAACAAAGAAATAGTAGGAATGTCGAAAAAACATCGATGCATCGAAAATATCGATGTTTTGCTTCGATGCATCGAAAATTTTCCACTCGATGTATAAATAGTCGATGTATCGATGCATCGATGTTTTTTTTAAAACTGACATTTCTAGTACATTGAACCTTCATTCCAGTTTTTTAATTGTACAAAAAATAGGTGCAATCCCGTATTCCTCGGACTCGGACTAGTAAAACTGTCAAAAAATAAAAATTCGCTCAGAGCGAGAGAGTAACATTGAAAAGTACGGGATCGCTTTCTAGTAAAAAATGGTAACTTCTGTCAACTTCAACATAACCTCCAAATTTTGGTTGTAAATTTTTGCTTATTTTGTATGTAAGCACACTCAGTTCACACATGTAAATAACCAAAAATACTTTCAAATGCATTAGAATCCACTTAAACAAGTAATTAAATAGTTTTCAACATGAATTAGCAGAGTGCACTTTTCTTTTGTTTACAATTTGGTTGCCAAACACACTCCAGCTGATCGTTTGACACATTTACCAGAATTTACCAGCAAAAAATTCTCGGACTAAAACTGGTAACTTCTGACAGAGAGGGAACCGTATTTACTCTCTTTTTTGTCCTCTCAATAGTCAGAGAACCGAGTACGGGATCGATTTCCAGTAAAATCTGACCGATTCTGACTGTTTCTGACTAGTCCGGACTCGTACTAATATTGCAACTAATAGTGGTGACTTTGACCAAACAATTTAAATGGATCCAAAAAGTTCCGATAGAAATATAATTAGCTCAGTTGCAGTAATTTATTTCAAATTTTCTATAATTTTGCTAATAACATATATTTTTGTGAAACATTATCTGTAGAGGTCTTGTTAGTCGACTAGTCGGTTAACAACTTTTTTTGTCGGTTGTTAAGCGAATAAGCGAACCCTGTACAGAGTTGCACGAAACAACCGTGTGGATCAATTCCGTGTTTATATATATTGTTATCGATAAATTGGCAATTACGAAACAATCGGCATAAAAAAACTAGTACCTTCCGATAACTTAATATAGTGCTTCTGTTTACCTAAAATCTTTGAACGAGTACAATTTCAAAGGGCGTTGATAAATTTTAAGTTAATTATGTGAGTTAACGATTATTCTCTTTATTTGATTATGTTTTTGCATTATTGAACCTATGAAATAGGAAAGGGCATCAAGTAATAAATGGAATGTGCAGATCACTTAGTTTAATTTAATGAATAATTTAAGAGGGCGCCACACCCAATTCTGTAGCTACATACATACGTGATAGTCATTGAATTTACATACTTATATATAAAAGTACATATACATATGTTATATTTTTCTATTTATTAAATGAAGTCCTCGGGCATCGAATTTTCCTTCAAATTCTGAACTCAACTGCAAAGATATTTACAGATCATTTGAGCAGTACTAAAATTAAGTCTGTGCCTACTGCAGCGCACTGATCATGTCAACTATTGAAGAACGTACGGCTTACGAGAAGAATCCCTATTTCACGGGACACATATATGGCAATTTTTCCCCCTTTTATGTGACCATTGCTATATGTACTGTTGTTCTCGGTTCCATCATCTTCGTGAATATTATTTTTGGGTGTTGCTCAAAGCACCGTAAATACTGGAAAGATAGACATACAGGTATAAATTGAATTGTTCAGCAATGTCGAATAGTATTAATGAAAATTGATTTAACAGGTAATCGCTGGTTGGTTTCCATTTGGTCAGCTACGCCACACTTGCAGCCCCCTTTGGATTTTACTGAGCTAAAGGACGCCTCATATTTCGAACGATTCTACGTAAGTTTACGTTCCATAAACTTTGTTTAACATCATAGATACGTATGTATGTAGTTACACGGGCCAATATAACATGAGAAACGCCCGATTAAGAAAAAAAATATATACATATCGCACACGATCTTCAAAAGTGACACAACTCAAAATAACGCGTTCGTCAGAAAATGGGGAAAAACTATTTCTTTGCACATGCTAATCGTATGCTTTCTTCAACAATACAAGCTCTGTGTACATCTTTAGTGCATAATTTCCAAAATGCCAAATTTTGAGTTGAGCCACTTTTGAAGATGGTGTGCGATATGTGTGTAGATTCTTCATTTTTGTTATGGGTATTCATGGCAACGCGATAATGCCACGTAACCGCGTAAACCTCGTAAATAATTCGAATTTCCCATACAAAATGAAGTAAGTTTACGAAGTTTACATGGTTATGAGGCATTTACGCGTTTTAATGAATTGCCCTATTAACTTTATACAGCTCCTAAGTAAGATTACACATATGCACATATCGTTACCTAAATTCACTTCAAAACTGCGTTTTTAAACCTTCACTAAAAATTTGAGTGTTCGTACCAAAAACAACGGAACTATGCAACTTTTTAAAAATTCTTAGCTGCATGCATGATTTTATTTTTAACAACAAGTAATTTTTAAGCAAAAAACAAAACCGACTTCAAAATTGTTATTGAGCTTTGTACCAAGATTATTTTATTAGGAAAAATGGAAAAAGCAATAAAACCGACTTCAATTCTCATATAAAAATTTAAGATTACCGTTTATTTGTTCATGATTCATGATGGGATCTAAACCAAATTGGTGTTGCTTCTCCAGAATTAAGGTAACGATATGTATGTATGCACATAGGGTGGCCCAAAATACCTAGGAAAATCAACTATTTTGATTTTTCCTGCTCTCACCCCCAAGAACTAGAGAATATCAAAAATTAAGAGACACGTATTTTATTATTTTGAATTGGGTTAATATTTACCCGTGCCGCCGGTGCTTTGAAGTTTACACGGGGAAAATACATATTATCGTAGAATTGCTATAAAATCGTTAAACAACACTATTTTTCGATCGAATAAGACTATTTCCTTTCAGAAAACTTAAAAAAATAACACTTACGAACTTAAAAATTTTACTAAGTGTGTTTTAATAAGCCATAATCCTATCTGTCTGTAACATTCAAAAATTACACCTTTTCCAAGAGTACTTCAGAAAGCGTCAAATGTATTTCAGAAACTGTAAAATGTACTTCAGAATAGTCAATTGTACTTCAGAAACCGTAAATAGTTATTTTATGTTTTCATAACCCCATCACTCACGAACAGCTCATTGGATGTGTTTATTTTTTTTTTTGCATTTTACTACATTTGAACATTTGGTATCACACATACTTCTGAGCCGCTTTACAAAGTAAGGTACGTAGAATGTAAAGCAGTCTCTCGGAGTAGTTCGGCGCTAGGACAATAACTAGGTAAGACGTCATCCGAGGTGTTCATTTCGTGCTTTACTAGTAGTTGACATTGATCATGTTGATAATTTTGTACTAAAAGCTGAAAGAAAACGTGGATTACGTCGAAAGGTGCTTACATATTTTCCGAGTGGGATACTGCAGCATTGTTGTATGAGTAAACAGTAAAAGCTTAGAGACTAACCAACTATTTGTTAAAACTGTAAAGATTCAAAATATGACCTTTATGATACCTTGCGAACGCCCTTCATATCGTCGATGTTTTTGCAAAACAGCCCATCGACCAGATGCAAAACCGCCTAAATTTCCGTTGTGGAAAAAATGAGATTTGGTTTCCCCGAACTCCAGGCATCGAGATTTATGCATCAATCGTACAATCGTTATAAAAACCAGATTTATAAAATAATAGCTGAGAATATAGCGCCTATCAAGGCACTGCCTGCAAAGAAAAACAGTTTTTTCGCTCTCTTGTTAAATTTGAGTGCCGTAAGATAGGCGGTTTTGCGATATACAACTATACGACAGTATACAATCCCCTATGACCTCCCTAAAAGAGCTGTACCTTAAAAAAACAAAACAAAAGTAACAGTCACTCAACAAAAGAGCTGGACTGGGTGAACTTATTAAAATACTCCTATTTATTTCTTAATTCTTCTTCTAATTTGGCACTACAATCGTTTGTCGGTTTGTGCAGAGCCCAAAAAGCTTCTCCAATTGCCTCTCTCCTGTGCGTATTTGCGCCAGTTGCTATCCCGTGTGCCAGACAGGTCCTTCCATTTTGTTCGTGGCGCCCTTGCTTTCGCTGTCCACCCATGGGTGCGGAGTCGAAGGATGTTTTCACCGGAGCGTCGTCATTAATGTGTACAACATGTCCAAGCCATCCTTATCGCTGTATTTTTATGTGCTAATCATGTCTCTGTCGTTAAAAAACTCGTATTCGTCATTCCATCTGCTTCTTTCTTTATTGGCGCTGTAACCGCCTAAGCGATTTTGGCCGAGTCCAAAACAGCACGCCAGTAATTTCTCCTCTGTGCCAACTAACAACAATTGGAAATGCCAAGTGAAGCAAAGTCCTCCACCTGGTCTTTCCAACGCAGAGAAGGCCTCTTCCTCTGTTACCAGCATCGCGGCCCGCGTTAAATACTTTCAGACCAGGAGCGTTTTTTCAACGTTTTCAACGTGGCGGGACCCAAACCCAGCGCACGCGAAATTTTACGATTTTTCACTTTAGCTCGCTCCCAAACGGGTGTTTGATTGCTACCCAGAGGATACGTGTTCTGCGCACGAAACCATCCTCCATCTACTCTTATATATGTATATCCGTCGTATACGCGAACAGGAGACATAGTCCACGTTTCTGTGCCATATAGAAGAACGGGCATGACGAGAGACTTGTAGAGCGTAATTTGTGCTCGTCGAGAGGGGGCTCTACTCTTCAATTGTCTACCGAGCCCAAAGTAGCATCTGTTGGCAATAGTTATTCTTCGTTTGATTTCCAGGCTGACGTTGTTGGTGATGTTTATACTGGATGCCAGGTAGGCAAAGTCCTTCACTCCTTCAAAGTTATAGCTGCCAACAGTGTCCGCAACGTCTGGATTCTTTATATGTTGCTAGGAGGTACTTTGTCTTGTCTGCATTCACCGCTAGACCAACCTTTTTAGCTTCTTTTTCTAAACTGGAAAATGCTGCGGTTAAGTCCCTTTGTTTCAGACCGACGATGTCGATATTATCTGCATACGCAAGCAACATCGTTCTTTTGCAAGCCGCCAATCTGAATCGCAGCGGCACTACATATTGCAAAATAACGATGTATTTCTTAAAACAGTCTTATTTAATTTTTTCATTTCATGTGTATAGCACAGTAGTGTCCTATTTGGGAAATGTTTAGTTATTGGCCCATCGTTTTTGGGGTGGGGGCGGAGGGAGAGGGGGCGTGGCCCCCCAAACCCCCCTCATTCGAAAGGGGCCAGTCGCCACTTTACGAAAAGCCCCACCCCCCCTTGGGGACCTCCCACAGACCCCTAGGGAACCGTTTGAAAATGGGGTAAAAACGGCATTTTCCGAGGCAAACTGAGCAGTTTGAAGTGGAATATAACCCAACTAACAGAATCTGTGGGGTTTTTAAATAAAAGAAGTTATCCCAAGGTGGTTATCAGGCGAAAAAAGGAGGGCTAAACACCTTTCGCAGAGAACACCTTTGTGCGTAGGCGGCCTTCGGCC